TTTACTGCTAGATGGCCTATAATCTTAAATAGTTGGCAAAAGGAACAAAGGCAAATTTGAATACACCCATAGCATAAAAGTTGGCACATAAACATGCATATAAATATAATCATAGTAGACTAGAAAGGATTAATATTTTTTACTAGAAAGGATTAATAAGTAAATATTAATGTGAATTAATAAAAACATCATTAAATAATAATTTGTTCAGCTTAGGAACTTAGTATGCAATAAAGTTTTAATTGTTTGCATAAGAAAACTGGCAAATGTATTTTTTCTGATTTGGGTATGTATGTGTGCATTGACATAACACAAGATATACAGCTTAACATCTGTGTATATCAAAATAACAATAAGAGCCCGGTTTGAGCCGGGTGATGCTCCCCGAATAGGTTTTGGACACAGGAAAGTACACTTCTTGTAGTTTCAGAGTTCTGTTCCTGGAAAAAGTTCAAAGTGCAATAATTCCAAAATTATGCAGGGCAGAGTAACTGTTCTTTGCACTGCACTTCTAATCAATGTGATCTATCAACCTACAAAGTTTCTTGTTGATATATCTTATGGTTTCCGAGTTATTCCCCAGAAAACTTCAGAAAGTAAAAAATAAACAAAGGGCAATAACTACAGAATTAGGCAAGGCAGAGTTGTGATTCTTGTGCACTGCATATCTACCCCTTGAGATATATGTACCTACAAAGTTTCATGTTGATATCTCTTATAGTTTTACAGCTATATCCTGGACAAGATTTTTCTAAAAGGGGAGATAATTCAAAAATGAGGCTTAACAGAGTTATGGTTCTTTTGCACTGCACTTCTACTCAATGAGATCTATCTACCTACAATGTTTCATCTTGATATCTCTTATAGTTTTAGAGTTATGTTTAGGACAAAGTTTAAAGTGTTAAAATTGACAAAGGGCAATAACTCCAAAATTAGGAAAAAAAGAGTAATTGTTTTTCTGCACTGCACATCTAGCCATTGAGATCTATTCACCTATAAAGTTTCATGTTGATATCTCTTATAGTTTTAGAGTTATGTCCAGGACAAGATTTTTCTATAAGGGGAGATAATTCAAAATCCTGGCAAAATAGAGTTATGGTTTACTGCACTCCCCCTCAATGCCCTCTATCAGTGTCTCAAGTTTAAACAAATTATCTCCATGGGTATTCAAGTTATGCTCCGGACAAGACAACGGACAGACAGACGGACAAGGTGCCGACTATATGCTGCCAGTAAATATTTCCGGGAGCATAATTATGCAACTATGTAACAAAGACGGAAGAAAAATACACTACCTAATTGAACTAAAATACATACTAAATGCACTTATGCAACAAATAGCAATACAAATAATTATCTTTGATAAAAAAGAAGCCAGGACTGATCTTTTACTTATTATTGTAATAAGAATTAATTAGTAGGAATGGCAACAAATATTAAAATCAATACTGGAGTACTTAGTCCTTTTTCCAATTGAGTACTCAGTTAAAAGGATAATTTCAAATGATCAGCAAAGTTTTGTGACACAATATCAACACTGTCTGCATCTTAGTTTAGATTCCTATTTAAATTTAGAATTTTTAACTATAAATAGGACAGAATTTGTAACTATAAATAGGAAAATAAGGCGGTAACTTAGAAAAACAAATTAATTAAAACAAGAAATGTCGAACGACACATATGCCCCCCCCCTTTCTAGCCCATGACTCGTGTTATCTAAAATGTAATATGATATTAAAAAATAACTGAACATGTTTGAAAGAGATTCAAATATACACACATTTTATCTAAAATGTACTATTATAAAAAAAATAACTGAACATGTTTGAAAGAGATTCAAAAAAAGTTGCTTTGTGTTCAAGGCTTTAAAACACAAAATCCTTTGACAACCTAGTAAGTAAATTTGAACTATCGCAAGACATCATGAAAGTTTCCAGATACAGAGTTTTTTTGGCTAAGGAACATAGTATGCAAAAAAGTTTAACTTGTTTGCATAAGAAAACTGGCAAATATATTTTGTCTGATTTGGTTATATATGTGTGCATTGACATAAAACAATATATACAGCTAAACATCTGTGTATAAAAAAAAAACAATAATGCAACTTTGTAACAAAGAAGGAAGAAAAATAAACTACCTAAGTGAAGTAAAATACATACTAAATGCACTTATGCAACAAATAGCAATACAAATAATTATCTTTGATAAAAAAGAAGCCAGGACTGATCTTTTACTTATTATTGTAATAAGAATTAATTAGTAGGAATGGCAACAAATATTAAAATCAATACTGGAGTACTTAGTCCTTTTTCCAATTGAGTACTCAGTTTAAAGGATAATTTCAAATGATCAGCAAAGTTTTGTGACACAATATCAACACTGTCTGCATCTTAGTTTAGATTCCTATTTAAATTAAGAATTTGTAACTATAAATAGGACAGAATTTGTAACTATAAATAGGAAAACAAGGCGGTAACTTAGAAAACAAACAAATTAATTAAAATTAAATCAATAACATTATATTTGACAACCTGAAAATAAGTTTCTACAAGGGAGATACATCAACACTAATGTTTCTATATCCCAGAAAAAAGGAGAAATTATATGTTTTAGAGTAAATGAATATCAATTTTGTTGACTGATATTTGGACATTAGATTTTGTACTCGGTTAAGTGATACCTTGTTGCCATTCCTATTAATTAGGAGATATATCATGTGTTACATGAAAGACACGAATTGTGAAAAACAAACATTTTTTAATACAAAATATATTAGAACAATAACAACATGGCCATGATGGCCCTGAGGTCGCTTACCTGTATATAGGCCCCCGGAGCGGGCCAGATTAAACCCCAGGGCTTTTATTTGAACAAGCTTGGTAGACACCCATAAGAAGATGTTTCATGTTAAACATCTAAGCTCTAGCTCATTGGTTTTTTTAAAAAAAAAGATCATTTAAGTTTTTACTATACACAAACAGTTTTTTTTTAACAAACTGGGTAGACTAACATTAGAACATGTTTCATGCTAAATATCTTAGCTCTAGCTCTTTGAGTTCTTTAAAAGAAGATTTTTTTTAAAGTTTTAACTATACGCTTAAAGGGAAAATCAATGACCCCCCCCCCCCATTCATTGTCTGAGGAGACAGAAGATACTGATGAAGTACTAAGGACAACGATGCATGTACATTCTGCACAAGCTTAAACAATTCATAACATCCCTGTTTTGCGTTACAAACGAAAATCATGAAAACATAGTTACATGTACTTACATAATGTGTAACGACAAGTTTGTACTGTGTACAATCCACGTGCATGAGCAATTTTTAACATCCCTATTTGTCTTTTTTTACAAATGTTATATGAAAGTCTTGCTCAAGCATAAACAATCTATAGCATCCCTAATCTATGTAATGTGCGTATTTTTTGCAAGGTAACATGTACATTGCGCATAATCATAAACAAATAATAGTATCGCTGTTTGCGTTACATACGCAAGTTGTGTAAACATACACTAGTTACATGTATTCAAATAATTCTAACAACAATATTAGATTGTTTAAGTATAAACGTTCTTATATCATTCTTGAAATATTTGTTGGCACATTTTGCAATGTATACATACCTAAACAAATATATATCCCTGTTTTGCGTTACATACACCAATCGTGTAAACATACACAAGTAACATATATTTCAACAATTTTCAACCATGATAATATTAAATTTCACGAAGCAAAAATACACAGAGATGTAAGTTAAGATATGCACGTTCTTTTGTCATACTTCATATAATGAACGTAAAATCAACAATGTATACGTACTTAAAGAATTTTTAAAATCCCCGTTTATTTATTTTATTTTTTTGCAAATGCGACATGTATATCGCGCATAAGCATATACAAATATATATATATATACATATCCCCGTTTTGCGTTACATACGCAAAGCGTGTAAACATACACTAGCTGCTTGAATGTCAACACTTTTCAACAACGATAATATTAAATTACATGTATACTATCCAAAAAGTGCACAGAAGTGTAATATCCCTGATTGTTAAGATATGCACATTCTTTTGTCTTACTAAATATATGTGATTGTTAATTTTACAATGTATACGTTCTTAATCAATTTATAAAATCCCTGTTTATTTTATTTTTCTATAATTATTTTTGTATGCAAGTGTGACATGTATATTGCGCATAAGCATACATAAATATATATTATATATATCCCTATTTTGTGTTACATACACATACACTAGTTACATGTATTTCAAAAGTTTCAAACAACGATATAAATTATACTATGCAAAAATGCACAGAAGTGTTACATCCCTTATTGTTGAGATACAAACATTCTTTTGTCATAATTTATATAAATATGTTCGCACATTTTACAATGTTTACGTACTTGAACAATGTTTACATCCCTGTTTAGTTTCTTTGTTTTTTTCCCCAGCAAATGTGACATGTATCACGCGCATGAGCATAAACAAATATATAAATATCCCTGTTTAGCGTTACATATACGCAAATAGTGTAACATGTATTTAACAGTTTTCAACAACGATAATATTAAATTATACTATCCAAAAATGTACTGAAGTGTAACACCCCTGATTATTAAGATATATACGTTTTTTATCCTTCTTAAATTATATGTACGCTCATTTAACAATGTGTATTTTAACAGTTTTTAAAATTCCTGTTTAGTTTTTCCCCCGCAAATGTGACATGTACATCACTCTTAAGTATAAACAAATAATAGTATTCCTCTTTGGGTTACATACGCAAATCGTGTAAACATACACTAGTTACATGTATTTAAACAATTTTCAAAAACAACAGTATTAAATTCATGAAATTGTACTGTGCAAAAAATGCACAGGAGTGAAACACCCTTGATTGTTTAGATATATTGTCAAGATATATACGTTCTTTTGTCATACTTAAAAATATACGCACATTTAACAATGTATATGTACTCTATGTATATGTACTCTATATAACATCCCTGTTGAATTTTTTTCGATATACCTGTTTATTTTTACTTGGAAATGTTACATGTACATAGTATACAAACATTAACAATTAATAACCTCCATACTTTATGTTAAATAAAACACATGCTTACACAGTTTAAAAACGGTTTGAGATTTCTTCAAATGTTTGAATGAAAGTTTAATAAAAATCCCTTGAGAGATTTATCACTAGCACAGAGAAGAAATATATTGGTTATTTAACCCGTTGGTTTGCAGACAACCTCAATTTACCTACATTTTAATTGACGGCCTGCATGGTTTTTATTTTATCACCATCAGCTACATATTCGATTTTCAGCGGCAGTTTTTCTTTTATAACCTTGTTTATGTTGTCCTGTTGAGAAATTTTCAAGGATGTTAATAGTTCTTTTAAAGCCTGTGTGAAGAATGTTAATACACTAAATCTGTCATCTTGCTGGACTAGAAATTTCCCAACATATCCATCAGCTGCACTTTCTGTGGAATATTGTACTCCACAAACTACACACTTGTTGTGACTGTCTAGTTTTTTGTAGCTGCATGAATTGTTGATACAGGCTCTGCAATTTAAATAGAAAACATATATCATAATATGTGCTGTTATAATAGACATACAAGAGCCATGCTGGGCTAAGGCAATGGTGGACTTTTTTTAATTTTTCTAAAAAGAAAACAAATTAACAGTTTAAATAAATCTTTAAAGATTTACTTTTCTCATATTTAAGTAAAATATTTTTATTACAGAAATTTACTGAAATCTATAAAATTCTTATTATGTGTAATTCGAAAAATAAAATGCACAAACTGTGTACTGGAAACTGCATTCCTTTTTTTCTAGTCAAGTGAAGTTTGCCAACTCTTACTGTGTTTACCAGTAGAGCGTTTGAGTGCAAAACATTATACATATACCTCGTGTGTACTCAAAACATGTGAAGTCGACTTTTACAAAAGAATAATGAAGCAATAATCAACATTTTCAAATATCAAATTTGAGCCCAAAACATCATAAACTAAACCAAAAGAGGGAAAAATATTTTTTATTTTCTATTACTTGTAAGTGTGAAGCTGTTGTATCCCAATGATATTTCCAATGGATTTGGAAACATCTTCATCTTCAAAGTCACTACATCCAGAGGATACATCATCACTGTCAACTGTGTAGAACTAAGAATGAAAAGAAATTAAAACCTTATGATGAACAGTAATTAATGAAAAATACTACTTAGGAAAAGACCTTTCAATTATATAGTAATTGTTAATCCATTATAATGCTAATTTCAAGATCAAGGATTTGACATGTAAACAGCATAGGAATGAAAAAAATATTGTTCATGCACTAATGCAAAACAATGTGTAAGAAAATTAAAATTTGACATATGAAGGGTAAAACTACCCTATATAAAGGCGATCTTAACTGATTATTATTATCTCCAATCATCTTATTTTGACAACCCTGTAAATTGTTTATTGTAAATTCGTAGATGTGATTTATGTGAGTTATGAAGGTTATTTCACATTTTACAACAAATGTACATGCTTTTTCAACTGCAAAAAAGTGCTTTTTTTAAACAAACTTTGTAGAAACTCACTAGAAGATGTTTCATGCTCAATATATAAACTCTAGCTATGTGGGTTTTTTCAAAGAAGATTTTAAAGTTTTTGCCATTCACATATAAGGAAAATCAATGACCCCCCAGGGTGGGGCCAATTTTGACCCCAGGGCTTTTATTTGAAAAAACTTTGTAGACACCCATTAGAACATGTTTCATGCTACATATCTTAGCTCTAGCTCATTGGAATCTTTAAAAGAAGATCTTTTAAAGTGTTTACTATATAATTTTATTATGCATATAAGGAAAATAAATGACCCACTGGAGCGGGACCAATTTTGACCCCAGGGCTTTTATTTGAACAAACTTGGTAGACACTCACTAGAAGATGCTTCATGCTAAATATCTTAGCTCTAGGTCTTTGGGTTCTTTAAAAGAAGATTTTTCAAGTTTTAACTAAATGCATATAGGGAAAATCAATGACCCCCTGGGGTGGGGCCAATTTTGACCCCAGGGCTTTTATTTGAACAAACTTGGTAAACACTCACTTGCAGATGTTTCATGCCAAATATTTAAGCTCTAGCTCTTTGAGTTTTTTAAAAGAAGATATTTAAAGTTTTTTTCTTTCAGTTGCCATGGGAACTAGAGTTCTGCATGGAATTAAATTTTTTGAACAATTTCTAAAGGTAACCACCAAAGGAATATTCCTGTGAAGTTTGGATGAAATTGGCTTAGTGGTTTATGAGCAGATGTCATTTTAAGTGAAAAGGGTTCACAAAAGCTCACCCTGTCACTTTGTGACAGGTGAGCTAAAAAGTGGTCAGCAGCAGAAATATGGTGAGAAAATACTGCAAAATTAGTCTTAAAAAGCACATAGCATGCAAAATACAACTTGTATATTGATTGTTTTTACTTTCTTAAAATTTTAGTACATTTTCCTCAAGAAATATTTTGGCTTATCTGAAGTTGTGCATATTTAAAACAAGTGCACCAGGTAGAATCAACTTTACTCGAGAAGAAAATTTTTAAGTTTTTACTATATGTATATGGTAAAAATCAAAGATCCCAAATTCTGATCAAAGGGATATAATTTAAACAGTTTTTGTAGAAATTCACGAGATGATGATCAACAAAAAATATCTAAGCTCTAGGCCTTACACTTTCTGAAGAAGATTTTTAATAGTTTCATTTAAAAAATCTATTCAATAGAGCAGAACCATCAGAACAATTTTATTAGAGCTTCAGTTAGAAAGATTCAAGGAAATTTTTTATCACATTTGGCCCAGTAGTTTCTGAGAAGAAGTCGTTTTTATAAATAGTAGAGGACACACTAGTGCAAGATGAAATGTGATCACAAAAGCTTACCATGAGCATTTGTGCTCAGTTGAACAAAAAAATAATTATTTACCTTAATTGAAGATTTTTTCCTTTGATTAGCGACCAGAGGTGTATTCATTTTCTTCATTTTATCGTATCTAGATGACACATAGAAATTTTGTAATTCCACATGATCTCCAGGTTTTATGGAAGTTTCTGCCATGTCCCGCCATAGACCTACTTCAATCAATCCTGTTTTGTCTTTAATTTTTAGTTTTTTGAAGTTAACTTCACCTTCACCTGAAGAAAGCCTTTTTCTTACAGTTGTTGAAGTCTGCAGAAAAAAGTGTAAGATATAATATGCAGCATCTTTGAAGCCATGTTTTTAATTAATTTATATTATCAAAAGTTTTCAAAGTTTTTGATAAGAAAGATTTTCTGTGAACTATGACAAAAGTAGAAATATCGTCCTGTCATATAGGCACCTTCTACAAAGCTATAGTTACCCTGCGTCGAAAAACTATAAATGGCAGCCAGTTTTGCCCTCAGTTGTCAGTGCCTTGGTAGATAGCAATCAATTCATTTACACATTATCATATATCAACTTAAAATCCATCCAGTCACCAAGAATGTAAACAATAGACTAAGTGCCAGAAAAAGTTTTAGAAAATTTCAACATTAAGGTGTTATATATTTCAACATTAAGGTGTTTATTCTATTTTGGCAGTTTGAAATAATACCCTTGCATTATACTTATTTATTGTTCCTGACATTAGACCCAAGATTCCATAATAGAGATACCCAGATACCAGGATACAACTTTACAACATTTTACATGTAGTTATATTTTACACCAGAAACCTATGAACTTCAGACATCGATGCTGGCACTGACGCCAAAAGTAATCCTTATAGGTTGCCTTAAAGGCGAAACAAAAACTTACAAATCTAATTATTTCCATGACCAGGGATCTGGTAAATTTTAACTGTGATGTGGACAATCAAAAGGGATTAGTTTCTGGTTATTTGCAATGTTCCTGTTAAGATTCATAAACTCGGGGTCATCTTTCTGATGTTGCATGCAAATTTCCTTCCAAATCTATTTGCGACTACAATGTATGACCTACATTCTTTACAAAAAAATCAATTTTAATACTAGATTTGATTATTCTCATTATTTACACAGCAAAGATTAACTAACTATCAAGTTAATAGAATATATTGGCTACCTGACAGACACAATAAGTTACAATAGTAAAATAAATATTGACTTAAGTAACCCCTGTGTGTATAGTGTTAATATTTACCTTGACAACTTTTCCTTTAACAGACAAAACACTTTTTTTTGGCGACAATGATGCTGTAAGTATGTCATTTGTTTTCTGGAGAGTTGCATCTTTCACAACAGCATCAGGTACAACAACCATGTCTGAACTTGTTACAAATATGTCCGTTTTAGATGTGATGATAATTGTGCTGAAAGAAATATATCATCATGTACATAAATGAGAAATATGAATAAATTATCAGTGTTTCAAGTTACATAAAAAATCTCCTTTCTTGTTTTAAATTTTCTTTAAATGAAGAAAGGTAGTGGGGAACAAAATTCCAGGGCATTTTTTGTCAAAATTGTGAAGGGGCCTGGGCCTGTTCATTTTGTGAAAAAAGCGCGATGCGTCTTGAAATTGTGAAAAAAAAACCCTGTAAAATGAAAACAGTGATGCATCTTTTTCAGACTTGAATTGACTTCTATTTTGTTTTATTGACATGCTGTTTCAAAGTTTAAGGTGTCTTTCTTTTGTAATTTGTATTTTTGAAATTTTCAATGATTTGATTATAGTCCTCTTCAGAGACTGAGAGTATGTATCCTTTCTACACCTGTTTATCCTATTTTATCACCATCGATTCAGTCATTTGTTCCGATGGTGGCGATCACGTTTCATGGGATGAAGGAACAGGACAAGGTTTCTCAACTACCATTATTTTACCATGATCGGATTCGATCATTAGTACCGATTATGGCGGTCGAAGGTACAGGACTCGATTCTGTAATTACCGAATCTGGTGGAAACATTTCTGCCCAGTTGTCTAGTTTTTGTTTTTATATGCCGAAATTTTGTTCTTGTGTTTTCTTTTGTATTTCCCATTTCGTGACATATTGAAACCGGAAATGTCGCGCGATGAACGCTTGATTATAATTTCTGACTAGTCTCAAATCCACTTCAAGCCGGTATTTTCAACCCGGTAAACATGCGCTATTACAATTAACTCGATTAAAACTAAGTGTTTGCAATTGGCAAAAATCAAGTGTTACCGAAAGTAAACAATGAATTGAGGAGAACAGATTAGAAGTCGAAGTCCTGATATTTTGTGAAATCTCTTTTGAGATTGTGATTTTTTTCTGCCGCATTGTGAAAAAAAAAGTGCAATTTCGAATTGTGAAGGGGCTGAACATCGGCTCCTGTTAAAGAATGAAAAAATGCCCTGAATTCTAATGAAGAATTGACATGCATTTCACTATACTACCGATTTTCTAAAATATTTCAAACTTTTGTGAGAAAACATCCATAAAAAAGGTTTTTATCCAGTGTACCTACCTATCCAATATTTTCGGCTGCCAACCCTAAACCTTTTGAGGGAAAACAGGCCATGTTTTTTTGTTTAACCACATAATAAACTTTGCATCGCATATTATTTTCTTCAAATACAAAATAATATTTAACAAGAGCCATGTCAACATGGCCATCCCCCGCCGAATGTGTTTGCTCATTGGAAGAATGTATATGTAGTAGAGCAGAATAATTCCATTTTAAGAGGTCTTTTGGTAATGAAAACTGATGGCTATAGTGATTACAGATTTGAAACCTATGTGAATACTGATGGCTGAAAATAACAAAGGGCAATAACTGAAAAATAATGCAGGGTAGGTTATCATCCTTGTGTGCTGCATCCCTCCTCAGTAAAATCTATCCACCTATGAAGTTTCAAGTTGATACCTCAAATACTTTTTGAGAAAAAAATTGAATTGAAAAATTAAGTTTGAAAAATAACAAAGGGCAATAACTCAAAAATTATAAAAGGTACAGTTATCATTCTTGTGCACTGCACACCTCCTGAGTGAGATCTATGCACCTGTGAAGTTTCATTTTGATATCTCAAAGGCTTTTTGAGTTATGCTCTGGACAAAAATTAATTTTGAAAAATAACAAAGGGCAATAACTCAAAAATAATGCAGGGCAGAGTTATCATTCATTAGCACTGCACTCCTCCTCAATGAGATCCATCCACCTATGAAGTTTCAAGATGATACCTCAAATACTTTTTCAGATAAGCTCTGGACAAAATAGCATGAAAAAAACAACAAAGGGCAATAACTCAAAAAAATGTATAGGGAAGAGTTATCATTCTTGCGCACAACATTTCTCCTCAATAAGATCTATCCTTCTATGACATTTCATGTTGATATCTCAAACACTTTTTGAGTTATGCTCCACTCAGGTGAAAAATTAGGTATGAAAAATAACAAAGGGCAATAACTCAAAAATTATGAAAGGAAGAGTTATCATTCTTGTGCACTGCACACCTCCTGAGTGAGATCTATGCACCTATGAAGTTTCATGTTAATATCTCATAGGCTTTTGGAGTTATGCTCTGGACAAAAATCAATTTTGAAAAATAACAAAGGGCAATAACTCAAAAATCATGCAAGGTAGAGTTATCATTCTTGTGCACTGCACTCCTCCTCAATGAGGTCTATCCACTTATGAAGTTTCAAGTTGATAACTCAAATACTTTTAGAGATATGCTCCGGACAAAAATTTCGGACGGAAGGAAGGACGGACGGACGGACGGACAGAGACTATTACTATATCCTCCGCCGAAAATTTTCGGCGGGGGATACAAAGGAAATAGAGAAAAATGCCTACCGACCGATTTTATTTTTTTTAAAAAGACCATTTGTAGTTCAGAATAAAATAGTTTTAATTTTGAATTGTAAAAATTAAAGTGAACTAATACTCCTGGACATAATATTAACATTTCATATGATTATTCTAAATATAATAAAGGAGTGTATAGATCATACAGCAAAATAAATCTACCTCTTAACTTAAGTTGATGTAATATTTCCTATAAACATGTTATTATATGTTAAAACTTAATTTCATCATGCCTATGGTTTCATTAAAAAGTTTATCTCAACTGGCTATATTTCAAACGATTGGCCCATGGCAGGGCCCCTTTCAATCCTAGGGGTATAATTTGAACAATCTTTGTAGAGGACCACTAGATCAGGTTAGGTGCCAAAAAAAAGCTCTACACCTTGTGGATTTTGGCAAGAGTTTTCAAGATTAAAAAAAGAGATAATTTTGGTTGCCATGGCAACAAGAGTTCTTGAAAGAATTTTATTCTTTAATTTTAAACATCTTTGGTAGAGCTTCATGCAAGGGAGATCCCTCCAAAGTTTAAACAAATTTGGCAAAGTGGTTTAAGAGGAGAAGTTGATTAAAGAAATTGTTGACACATAGACAAATGGGGGAAGGTATCATGGAAAATTTAAATATAGGAAAGTACGAACTAACCCATCTTCCTTTTTTATTGCATTTGTTATGATGATTGCTTCTCCTTCTACTAGAGCTGGGAATTTCCTTTCATCAAAAGCTATAGCTTTAGTATATGATGTTTCATCTGCGATAGTGACTTCTTTCATGACAGCATCACCAGCCTTATTTGTGTATTTCACAACTTCCTTTGATAAGAGAACCTTAACCTTTATGAAACTTAGAGATGTTTCACCCTTTTCTTTCAAAATCTTATCTAGTGTAATTGCCTCTGAAATGGATAATGGAAACTTTGTTAAGCAACTACAATCTTCATCATCTTTTTAAATAATATGTTTACTAATGTATATCAACAGCAAATCTAGTAATATACTCTTGTGGAAATGTGTAAAGACTATAACTTAGTTTAAATTTTATTAAGGTTGTGATCTGTACAATTTATGAAATTAAAAGGATCTCCACTTAAGTTTTTAGGCCTATAGGGACAATTATTTGTGCAATTATTTGATTTAGATTTGAAACGAATGGTTCATATATATCTGATAATATTACCCAATGAACTATATTTTATTTTTAAATATAATACAACATTGGTGTTTTATAGATAATCATGAAAATCAGTAGAAGATTTCGTGAAAAATTAAGTAAACAGAAAAAAAATTAAAACAATAATGTTAACATTTCCATTTATTTTCAATTAAAATGTCTTAAAAAAAATTTGATGTTCACTGTTTGCTGTATGCAAGAATTTAATAATTCTAGACATTTTGATCCCAGTGGAGTTCCTTTAAAGGAGATTCAATTAGTATTAACCTACCTGGCTGCCTGCAGCAGTATTATGAGAAGTAAAATTTGCAACACACACATAGTTAATAGTAGGATATGAATATTGTATATGAATGTAGATAATAGAAGCAGTATCTTTACTGTAGATAATAGAAGCAGTATCTTTAGAAGTTTTTGTGAAGGTAATGGTGACAGTATGTAAAATGTTGTAAGTGAAAGAAATCAAAAGTGAAACATTCATTTTGTAAGTGAAGTACCATGTAAATAGTACTAAATACTGTATAGTTATTCAGAAATCAAACAATTTAGAAGTATAATTTCTTGCAATGTAAGACTTCCATTGAGAGAACAAATGACAAGCAATGCAAGCTTCTGACAAAAGAACGCCAGCCTTCAGGGTTTATCTTTTCGGTATCTGGGGCATATGACCAATAGCCATAAACTTACATTTTTCCAGTCAAATAACTTTTAACTGAAAAAATAACACAGTATCACCTCCCCCACCCAACCCCCAAAAAATAAAAATAAAAAATCATTGGCCTTTTTTCTGATATCTTCTAGTTGAAATAATTCCCAAAACTCATTTCAGAGGCAGTATTTTTTCCACATGTGGCCTGACTCTTTGAAAAAGGGAAGTCAGTTAAAGAAAAGGGCTAAACTTCAAATGCAGAATATAAAACAGCAAAACAGTTCCATTTTTTGTTTGATATTTAGCAAACACTGGTACAATATTTTTAAACTATAATGGCTAACACTTTGTAAATTAGGAAAATAAAGAATTTCTGTTGGAGTGTAATTTTGTTTTAGAAACAGTTGAACAATAAATACTTTTTGAAGGAAAATGTGGAATAATAATTATGAAAACTGAAAAATTAAAAAGTGCACTTAAGTGACATAGGGTGTTATCACCTTAAGTTTTTATCATGAACCTAGAGTAATGCTGCTTTGAAGTACAGTACAGCTTTAACAATTTTTCCAAAGTTCTTGTGATAGTGCTAAATAGACAAAACATTCGCACAGGCAACTTGCAAGGTTTACATTATACTATAAGGCAAATTCATAGTTAAGATTGAAAAAAATATTTATCTATTTACTAAAAGAATGAAGGTTCAAATAAAGTTCAACAACAGAAGGATCAACTGTAATTTTGTGTACATTCAGTGCAAGAAGTTGAAGTCCATCCAAACTTTTAACTCTACTCAATGCCACATAAGCTTGACCATGCTGAAATATAGTTTCATCAATACATACTGCTGCCACAGGCAATGTAAGACCTTGTACTTTATGGACAGTAGCAGCCCAAGACGGTACCAATGGAAACATTTCACGAATGATATATCTTCCGTTGAACAGGAACTCTTGCCTGTACACTGGAATTGATACAGTACCATCCTGTCTACGAACTCCTGATGGAATATTATCTTTATGGTCAAAGAGAACATAAATGTATTCCAACTTTTCTGTATTTAAATTTATATGATAGCTGGACACATAACCTTGTGCACCATTAACTAAGCCATATCTGATACATATATTCCGTAAAAGCATTATTCTTGTACCAACAGAAAATGTGAGAGAAGAAGGTAAACCACCTGCATCTCTGTCATCTGATGGAATAAGGGTGGAGTTTAACACTGGTAAGTTTGGTTGCAAGTCATGTTCAGAAAAATAATGATTAGCCTGATATGTGACTTCAGGACTTGTAAGGGTAGCCTGAATGTTTGTGTTATGGTTATGTACACTTTCACGTGTAGAGAAAATATGCAAGATATTATGGTCAACATTGCGAGCAGAAATAAGGCGTGTCTTTAAAGCTGCTATGTCACTTTGATTCATCAATCCTATTCGCATCCTACCAAGCAAGCTAGAAAACTCAGTATCCCCACACTGACGAACATTTGTATTTAAAAAGAATGGACAAAATAATGGCCACAAAGTTTTATGACAGAATGCAAACTTACCACGAACTGGACACAGCTGAAAAAAGTCCCCTACAAGAATAATATTTAATCCACCAAATGGTAAATCATTGTTATAAATAGACTGCAAACGCAGGTGAATATGCTCAAGCATCAAAGCACTTACCATGCTTATCTCATCAATAAGAATTGTGTGTACATAACGGAACTCTAATCGAATCTGTTTCAATGACTTTGCTGACAATTCTGTGTAACTAGTGCTGTAAGCATGCTGTACAGGAAGATGTAATGCTGAATGTATTGTTTTTCCTTTAATATTGAAAGCAGCTACACCAGTTGGTGCTAAAACTGCAATGGGAATGCAACCACTGATTGAAGCAGTAAATAGAGTCATATATTCTACCAAAACTTTAATTAAAAAGCTTTTTCCAACTCCACCAGGACCAGTAATGAAGATATGCAATACCTTCTTACCAACTGTGTTTTGTACAAATTTAAGTACCTGCTGTTGATCAACTGTCAATGTTTTACAATGCTCATTGAATAATGAGGCATTAACACCTGTACTTAATGAATGCCACTGTTGTTCAAGTGAATGTGTTTCACCAACTGTCATATTGACATTGTTACATGTATTGTTATTAATAATATTATTTGTAACATTACAAGGAGGGCCAATATTTGAAAGCATGTCAAAGCTATCAACAGGTACTGGTTCAGTGCTGTTTTCATCTGTATTTGGAGCTGCAATAATATCTGTTTCAATGTTATGTAAATGCAGGGAGGCAATAATAGAATCTATCTCCTCCATGCGAAAGCCAATATTTACTGCAGACTTGTTAAATTGCTCATGTTTAGCAAGAAATGCATCTTTTGCAGAAGAATATGGTTGAATTAGCTGATCAGCAGATTCATGTGGATAGAACAGAAGCATTACACTGTAAAAGTAATCATCTGTTCCTCTAGCAGGCTTAGTAACTCTGACTACAGCTGGTTTTGATCTGATTTGACAGTAAAGCTGTTGACTCAAAGATAACTTGTACCATGCATTCTTACCAACTAACTCTTTTCTGACTATCCATAATCTTGCAAATGAAAAAAGAGACAGATCCTTTAATGCTGAAGGCCTAGCATAGTAATAATCGAGGATATTATTATCAAAGATATCAGTAGAATTATCAGGCATTTGTTCCAAGACAGACTGTGGCTTTAAACGTCTATACAATTTATCTGGAGGCATGGCGGTCACTCTTACAATTTGCCTTGAATACCATACTAATTGTAAATGACCTATTCGATATGCAGCTTCTTGAGCGCTTAATGTTCTATGCTTTAAAACACAAAATCCTATTTTTGACAACCTAGAACGTAAATTTGAATTGTCACAAGACATCTCAAAAGTTTTCAATGTTTCAGATAAAGCGTCTTTTAGAGTGTTTGGTTCAGATTTACAGATATAGCTGCAAACATAGTAAGCTATTCCAATAGGACCATCAACCATTTGGATGTCCATATTTGCCTGCCAATGCAAAAGAATAGTTGGATTATAGGCATTAACCATGGTGTCATTTATTGTTCTTCTTGTCAAATAAAATTTTTTTGAATGTATAATGTCTAAAGCAGAAAGAATTTGAGTTTCATTGCAGGGTTCAAATGGAAATGAAAATCTACATCTATTTCTTCTTTGGCAACTTGGCCGATGACTGTGAATCTGTAATTGTTTAACTAATTTGTGTAAAACTGGATATAAATTTTTATCGGGAATAGTTGTAGAAATTTTAGAATCTATGAATGATGTGAGCTCATGAGCATTGGAAGTATAAAGAGATGGTGCATTTTCTATCCAAATGAACATATGCATGTGGGGGCTACCTCTAGACTGAAACTCAACACGAGCAAAGTAATCTTGAACTTTACCTAGAGGAGCATTTTTTCCTTTCAGCACATAATTGAGAAGAGCTCTCCCTCTTCTTTCAAAATGTACCGCTGCAAACAATGGATTCTTCTGCACAGCATATGGCAGATCTTTCAAGGGAACCTTAAGCATTTCACTTAATTCAACCCAATGGTAATCATTTGCAGATAATGTCATAAAGAAAGTAGGGCATCCCAGATTTTTAATCATAGCAAGTAAATTGTATAGGACATCTTTCCAATATGCAACTGTCCCACGTATGTTTTTCATAAACATGTATGAGTTTCTAATAAAGTTTTGGTTCAAGTCAGACTGCAAAAGGTCAAATACTCTAGGCTGAAGTCCTGGATTTTGAACCCTCATATACACTGAAATGAGCTCAAACAGTCGTTTGCGTTCAAAACAATTGACAGCAGACAATAAATATGGAATATCTTTACGCCATCTTTCATCTTTGTTGTATTATCTTGAACGATAATACTGCAAAGGAGTCAATTTTATAGGTCTGTCACCCATAAAACCATTTCTTCCTAATGGAAATAATGTGGGAAAGGCCTTTTCTTCACCATGTTCCATGGTTAAAATGTCAACAAAATCATTATGTACAGGTAATGTATATGCAGCTGACTGCTGAGTTGGCAAAAGTGGACCTGGTGAAATATAATCTTCATTTACACTGCCCATTTCAATACAGTCTGTAATATTTAAAGGTGACATATCCCTTCTAACTGAAGTATTGAAATTAGTATGCTCAGTGTGATAATATAAAGGGTTATTTTTAGATAACCAATCCATAGCATTTCTAACTTTAGAAATATTTACTATTTGGGGTTCTTTGGAATAAGAAGATGGAAAAACACAGGCAATGCTGTTTGTGTAAGACTTAAAAACAGAAGAAACTTCAGCAACAGACATTGGAAAGTGTACAACAAGACCTCTCATACCAAACTGCCCAACTGGAAATGCAGGCAAAACAACTAATGAGAAAAAAGTGTTCACAAGAGATAAACAGCGTTTTTCAATTGTGTTTAATTGTTTCAAAACTTCAGGCACAGGTCCTGCATCAAGTTTATTGTGTACCTCACTTAGAGGACAATTGTCTTTAGCAACACCCCTATTACACCATGAGCATAGGACATCACCACACTGTACACTATACTTAGCATAACTGGTCCGAGCTCTAAAAATCTGATTGAAAAAAAGTAGTCTATTACAAACAGAGCAACTATAAACTGGGTACATCTGAATACTTCTGACAAAGTATGAATTTCGCTTTTCATTTGGCATTAAGGAATGATGATGCAACGCTGATTTCAAAAATGGCTGTGGACACAACGTGTCATATAATTCCCGAAGTGGTTCATAGGGCATACCAACATTGAGACAATTACTTTCAGAAATTTCTAAAATTCCATTGGATAAACTGTAACAGTGGTCTGAATCAATAACATTGGATTTCCTACCAAGTTTTCCATATGATGAACTGTAACAATGGTCCAAACCAACAGCTGCACTTGTATCATTAATGTGCTTCACATTAATGTCATTTGAAGACTTTTCGCCCGTATGTGCCGAATAACATATAGGACTGTTGTTACTTAAATTTGGAAAACTAACATCAGTGTAGGAAAACGAAACATTTGAAACTTCAAATATACTATTTAAGTGCCTTTCTGTTAAGTAAGATATAAATGACTCCTGAGAATTAAATTCAAGTAATACTGCAACTCCATTGTTACTTGTACACCCATTATCATCACATGAATGAGAGTCAAAAAGACTATAAATGTTACGCTGTCTGTCATAAAACAATGCAATTGTATATTCAGAAAATGTAGCCAACATAAAATCACTTTGGAGAAATGACTGTCTAATGGCTGTTTGAAAAGGAACTGCACCTGCATCATGATCTGCTTCCTGACCAACAACGCCATAAAATGAATGACTATCAACTTCCACTTCGACATCTCGGAGACCCATAAACCGATGAAAATATCTTGGGACTTCATTATGTTGTAAATTACGTATGCCTACACCAATTGATTCTACAGTTTCTATGTACCTTTGGTGTCCTTCGACAATGACGCAATTAATATCATTTCTTTGCCAGTTCGTTCCCGGGTTCAAATACGTAAAGCAAAGGGCAACTAAAGCCATAACAGTACATTGCCTACCAGCAAATCTATCAGTAAAGTAAGGATATCCCTGATGGCATTGGCCTCTTAAAAGTCTTGTCCACTTACCCATATTTATTTTGTTTTCCATTCCAATGCTCCACACTACATCATTTAAGCGCGAAACCTCCGCATTGAAGAGTCAATAAATTACCGGAAATAAAGGTGTCTTCCAATGTTCTACAACATTTAAGCGCGAACCTCCGCATTGGAGAGTAAAAACATACAGTAAATACCGGAAATGATAAAATGACCGGAAAAAAAAGAAAATGAAAAAATGCACAGAACCAGATGTACACTTATGTTAATTAACCAAACGAAAACTTTCTATAAAGAAAACTGGTGAAATCGTTAAATTAAAAGTCAATGTAAATATGATTTATTGAAAAGAATTCATGAAATCACCATAACATCTTTCCGCTCAAAGCAATACTTGCTGCTTTTTAAAAATGGCGTGAAAATTGAAGGTTTTTTGACGCTATGTAAGATTAAATTTGATTGGCTAAATAATTTTGGATCCCAGCCCGGACAGATAAATTTTGTAGAAAGCTGGAAGCCAAGCTTCGATTAAATTTTTGGATGGATTCGGAGTTTTAGGTTGTTTCTTAGTAAAATCCTACCGTAATACCGGCTCGCCGTGGCGAGCCGGCATTATTCAAGTAGGAATATTGGAACCACCCAACTAGAAAATGCCGAAAAGTTGAAACTAAAAATACCACAAGCACAACAATTATGTCGTGCTGAACGATCTTCAAGGATCGAAAATATAACATCATTGATTAAATGTACGGGGAGACTTTTTACAGCCGCCACACGGCACAAATAACACGGATGTGATCATAAAATAGATAAAAATACAGAATCCCTAAAGAAAGCCCAACACGACAAAATTGAAAATGTTGCAGGCTCGGTTTGATTGAGCCTGTTCATGGACGGTACTGGAAAGTGCAAGTTACTGTCCACGCCCCCTAGCACCGGCTTAAGCAGAATTCAACATTTAAACATGAAATAGTAAAACCTATAACAAGTAGAGAAACTGATGAATATGTGAAATTACATTTCGCTTACAAACCCTATAACAAGTAGAGAAACTGATCAATATGTGAAATTACATTTTGGTTATTTCGTCTCGAAATGATCAAACAATAATTGCGCTACTTTACGTATTGAATAGTATGTAATGTATTCAATTCACCTGCATACATTTCTTGTTTGAATAAAACATAAAACATATTATTTGGGCCCATTATAAAATGTCCATTTCGCAAGCATATGGCCCTTCATAATATCAAAATTGCAATTTTATATTCTTCAAAACATCTCTTTTGCGTATTTTGGACATGCCGTCAATGCGCAATGAGAAAAATCTCAAATTTTGCAGAAGATTAAGTGAAAGTCAATTTGAGATTTTTATCAGGTGTGAAAGAGTCTCGATGGATTTGAGAAATCATAGATTGAGAAATGTCTTAGTATAAGGAAGTTAGAGACAATAAAAAGACTAAAAGATTAAAGAATGCTGAATAAGTTCAGAAACAAATATGGAGCACTTATGTGGAAAGAGAATATTGTCTAGGCATCTAAATAATGTATCATCTAACATTACTTGGATCGGAAAATGATTTATGTCCCTTTAACGGCTTATTTTATTTTCTTCATTGCAATCATAAAACTTGCATAATCCCCAGACATCCATTTATACAGAGCCATCTATACAGATATCAAGTTTCATAAAAATATGTTCAGTACCTTTTGCGTTTTTTACGGGATTAAGTTTTGAGGACGGACGGACGTGTCAACATTTTATGGGGTTTATGTGCTTTTTCTTTGATCTTTATGTGGCACCTTTCCACATAAACCAGTAAAATCACGACATAAACTAGTCGGTTAATGGGATTTTCTTCTTTTTTAAACTAAGATTGGATGATGCCCGGACAGACGGACAGAGGGTAAAATATAATAAACAAGATCAACAAGGAAAGACGGCGTTCAACGAACGCAATCCCCACACGACCCATCAACAAGAACCAGTGGCAATAAGCCCAGGCGGACCCCAAACAAAAACAATAGAGGGCATAAGGTAGAGCACGGACAGGCTAATCACTAAAATGAAACAAATAAATGGTTGAATAAAAGGCCCACAAAGTCAAAGTGCACAGTGGAAGGGGACAGGAGACCCGGGGGAAAGGGGGGTTGATAAAATTAAAAAATAAGACTGGGGCAAAGGGGAAGATACTTACCGTAGACAAGAAAACAACAAGGGGCACAAGCAAAAGTGTCACCCAAAACAGTATGAAACAACATAGACATACATCTGTGGAAACAAAGAGGGGGGCCTTTTTGGGAAAACGGTCGGGCGGGGAAAAAAATTTACTGTTGGGATTTTAAAACCGTTTAATTTGGTGCATAAAACCCTACTGTTAGCCCCACCATGTTCCTATAAACAAAGACAGTGTAAAAAAAAATAAACCCAAGTGAAATCTAAAGTCCCCCCGGGGGTTTTAAAACTGATAGAATTAGTTTTTATAGCATGTCTTTCGTTTTTTGCAAATAGGAAAAGTGAAGGGCAAAAACAACGGAAAAAAGAGTAAAAAATTTTAAGCGTATATTCCCTTTCCTTTTGGAAAGTGTATTTTGTGCGTTTTTAACCACTGGGGACGTTTTAAAGGAGAAATTTCAGATTACATAAAGGTGGGATTTTTTGGGCCATAAACTGATATTGGAGGGAAAACGGCTTTTATCCGGGTTAAAACAAAAAAAAGAGGTCAATAGACTTTTTAAAAGTGTAAACTTAAAGAAGCTCCACTGAGGTCAAAAGGCCTAAAATATAGAATTTTAAATTTATACATAGATCAAATGAACAAATTAAAATGGAATCATCTGTGAATGATTATAAAGAAATATTCCCGAAATTGAATTAAAAAAAAATCATTTTTGTGTGTAATTTAAAGGCAGATTTGAGCGATAAACGTTTCAAAGCTTATCATTTCACATTAAAACGATGATTCAGGAAAAATGGAGGGAGGGAATGATCTTATTATTTACACACAAGGTAATGGGTTAGACCTTCATCAAATAGTACACAAATCTCGGTAAAACTATTTCCAATCCCTTCATGTCAAAAAATCTCAGTGGATTCTCTTAAACATTAAAGTGTAAAATAGCCTATATAAAACATTGTAGTCTTTAATGCTTTAATGTGCTATTTAACCTTCACTGAAACCAAGACAAATTTCAAGACATCTTTTAAGTACAAAATCACCATGTTAGCTGATTTTATTGTTATTCTAGTAAAATAGAGAGAAATAAAGAATCCCTAAAGAACGCACAAAATATGATAAACAAGATCATCAAGGAAAGGCGGCGTTCAATGAACACAGCCCCCACCCGACCCAGTAACAAGAGCCAGTGACAAGGAGCCAGGAGGACCCCCAACAAAAATAGGGAAGGGCATAAGGCAGAGTCGACAAAATTGTAAATGTTGCAGTGAGCCTGTTTATGGATGAGAATGGAAAGTACGAGTTAGCGCATATGCCCCCTAGCATCGGCTTAAGCAGAATTCAATATTTAATCGTGGTAATGGGTAAAATTTTGAATTTTTGAAATATCCACAGATGTGTTCATACGCGGTTATCATGGAACCTTCAATATGACACTTTCGTATTGACAGATTGGCGATCACGATATTGATCACACCGTTCTTAGCTAATTGAACCGTCACTGTCAAGGCTACATACATGGTGTCGTTCTCAACATCGTAATATAGTAATGCTATATTACGGGTATTACAGTTCTAATTGACCATGTTAAAAAGTTACAAACATCAATACAATAAGGTTAACTTTTCCAAATTTCCAGATCTTTTTCAAACTAATTAGGTATATCAAAATTGTTATTATTAATTTCGTACCGGAAAATGAAGTCAATGTTCTGCCTCTTTTATATGCACTCTGATTTGAAAGTTTTCAAATGATGGCTGTAAATCTCATTTGCTAAAGATTAATTGTCCACAAGGGAAATTTCCAAAAATTATCTTATATTAAAAGATTATAAATGCAGACGTATAATTTGACGCCTCTTTTTCAGCAAGAAAAAATTAATTACCATTGCAGATCGTTCAATCAAGACCATGCAATATACACGAAATATGATAAACAAGATCAACAAGGAAAGGTGGCGTTCAATGAACGCAAACACTTCAAACTTTCAAGCTGTAAATCTGGTAACAAAAATGAAAATGTAAGCTACCTGCATACATATATTGCCGATAAAATTATAAGTTACATTTCATCTTTTATAATTCTTTCGGTTCCGCTGTCTATTTAACTTGCAACTTTTGAAAAATATCGTCATTTAATACAATTATTTTTTTTCCAGTATTATGTAATAGCATGGTAAAACATATCCAGTACATGATAAAACAAGAAAAATCAATGTAACATGAAATGAAATGAAAGGCATCATACCTAGGATAACACAAGAAAGAGGACTAAATCTCTTATTTCCAGTGTGGTACGTATGTTGTATTATCCATGTAACATAACATAATAAAAAGTGTCCTGGTTGTTTTGTCTTATTTAAATGGACTATACACTGTATATAGATACACAACAATTGATACATACTGGTCGGAGAGATTACCCCAACACTTGATAAATATAATTGTTATTACTGTGTTTTTCTTTTCAACAAACAAGCACATGGTCACCAAGAAGTATAGGAGCAGGACAGAATGTGATGTTATTTTAGTAAATTGGTAACATTTCAAATGTTGTTTTTTTCCAAATAATCTTAACTTTTAAACTACTTCAAAACTTTCTTTCTTATTAAATTACAATAGAGTAGTAAGAATTGTATAACCCACAGGCCACTAGCATGGGAAAGATTTTTGAAAAACTGTTTAAATATCAACACAAAAATAGATAAAACTTCTAAGATGTAAAGACAAATTATTGATGCAGATTTTCCAGTCATTGACAACTTAAAAATGTAAGTGTAGACTTTATCTACTGTTGAGAGGCAAACATTCTGTTTTGGTTTAACCTCATTCAGACGGACCTTAAAGAAGTACAAGTTTTCCATTTTGCATACGTAAAATTTTATTAGTGTAATGTAAAAGTCTTTTCATCTGAACTTTGTTTAGTGTTTGTGGTTTCAATATTTAAATATACAGGAAAGATAATGAAAGATATCTGCAAAGATGATGTGATTTAGATGTCGGAGTTAACTCTCCAACTAGTATTGACGTGTTTTCTTAGAGTGCCATACGTAACGAAATTTTCACATTTGAATAGCTTCAATTTTAACTTAAATTCAAAAGTAATTTTTTTTTATCAAGTAAAGGCAGATAATCTTAATAAAACGTCACGAATCCACACCAATCATGTGAATCCTTTAGTAGCAAAATGTTAAAACAGGAACAATTTAAGGTATACAATGAACACACACACAAAATGAACAGCCTGCCTGAAAAAATGAACAAAAAACGAATGAATATAAACGTATAATTCTAGTAAAAGATATTTTTTAAGAATGTATAGCCTCAATCTTATATAAGCTAGCTCGAAAACATGCCAAGATTCCCGATGTAATTCAACCCCAAAGCTGT